GGATTTTCACCTACTGCTGAATCCATACTGAATCTGAGACTTTCCCTCACTGGATGTCTGATGTTCCTAAGTAGCTAGGCAAGCTCTGCACCTGGCACTGTGTCACTTTCTCTTCCCCACAGAGGATATTTCTTGCTGCAAGGGTTTGCTGTCTCTGCTCTTCAGTGTCCACGTTCTCTACAAGAGCCCTGTTGGTCTCCTGCGGGAGCTTGCACAAGACATCCACGCCTGCCTGGGAGATATAGATCAGGTATGATGCAGGAGCAGCTGAGCTCTTCCTCATAGTGCTGTCAGAATCGAGTGCATCTCTGGTGCAAACTGTGTGACAGCAGTTAAAGTCTAACCAGAATTTGTTCTCTCTCCTCTGCCCAGGACATAGAAGTGGAGGGTCGGTGCCATTTTGCCGTAGTGAATGCCAAGACTGCAGCCCCCACTGTCTGTGTGAGTCAGAACAGCATGTGTGTGACACCTGCAGAGTCCAAGGCTACTGTGCTTGGAGCAGCTTGCAGGTTCCTGTTGTGCCAAACTCCTCCAAAAATCTGTTTTGTTATTGGTTTCTGTCTCAGCTGCTGGTTCTGGGTCAGGTGGACAAGGTCCTTGAAGAGGTGGATTGGCTTATCAAGAAACTCGCCAGTCTGGGGTCAGACACATCAGGTAATGAAAGTGGTCCAGTTCTTACTGTTACATCTTTGTCAAAAAGATGAGCAAAAAGATATTTGGGGATTTTGAGATAGCATCATCTAAGGTCAGGTTAAACTCTCCCTTGAGCTGGTTCCACATGAACAAAATAAGATAAGGGTGTTGTCATAAAATCTCTCCAGTGATTATTTTCCCCTTGCCCCACTGGGGCTTTATGCATCAGACACAAAGATGGTCTTTTGTGCCTCCCACCTGCACAACTGGATTCATTAGATATATATTCACCAGATATTCATCTCTTTCTTCTAGAAGACCCCTCTCAGGCATCAAACCAAACTCAGGCTCTGGAGAAGGGTGTAATTCTGCAGCTGGGAACTCTTCTGACAGTCTATCATGAGCTGGTGCAGACTGCACTCCCAGCAGGGAGCTGTGTGGACACACTGCTGAGAAGCCTCAGCAAGACATACGCAATTCTCACCTCCCTCATCAAACACGTGAGTGTGCTCTGCTGACTGTGGGCTGCCCCTGAGCTAAAAACCTTCTCCCCATCTGCTGCAGCAAGCTCTCAGTGACCCCTGGCAGCAGCTATGCTCAGGACTCGCCTGTTGATCTCTTGAAGGAGTTGAGCCCTTGTTCTGCTGGCTTTCATGCCCTCAGTTTCGTGCCCTTTCTGAGCAGTGATAGTTGTACCAGTGGAGATAAAAGGAAAGCTTCTCTCTAGCTGAATTTGGCTTTGCATGGCTTGGAGTTGCTGTTTCCAGTGTGTGCTGTGGGTTCCTCTGCACAACTGTGTGCACAATGAAGGGCACTCACAGTGTTCTCACAGTGCTCACCAGCCCTGCCCTTGCCACTCATTCCCATTCCCTGAAGCAGGACCTGGGGGAACTGGGCCATGAAACTCCACAGGCCTGTGGAGCTCCTTTGAGACCAGTGGTGACTGCCCCAGAGCTCTCCTCTCACAGCTCTGGAATGCAGACATGGCATTTGGGGTGTAACAAACCACTGGGGAGGATATCTGTGCTAATCCTGCCCTCCCCACTGTGCCATTGTGTGAGCTGCTTCGAGCTCCAGCTGGACACAGGGTGGGCACAGCACACCTAGAAGAAACTCCTGTTTTCCTTGCAGTATATCCAGGCTTGCCGCAGCAGCTCCAACACCATCCCAGGAAGACTGGAAAAGCTGGTGAGTGTGAGCAAATTTCTGGGGAAATGGCTCATTGCCTTGAGTTAGGAGTAACAGCAGCCTCTCTGTCTGCTCCTTTGCAGGTGAAGCTCTCAGGCTCCCATCTGACCCCACAGTGTTACTCATTCATTACTTACGTACAGGTGAGGCCTAAATTAACTGGCAGAATCACAGGCAGTCTGTCTGATGCTGAGTGGTGTATCAGCTTCAGTACACAGGCACTCTTGGGGATTATTAATCTTCTTGACATGACCTGAGTTTCTCACAGTTCAAGCTTTACTTTGTCAAATATAGCATAAGACATTTCAGCACCATTGGGACTGAACATGCTGATTTCTGCTTGAGCAGGGAAGGAGCTGGGCTTTAGCTGTTTTTTTTTTTTCCCCTCTGTTCATGTGGGGTTTTTTGGATGAGATTAATACTGCTGTTAACCACAATGGCAAATAAAGGTCAACAACACTGCAGTCATCACAGTGTGAAGTAATGTGGGTGCCAAAGACTGCAGTGCTGGAGCTGGGATTTATCTGCCTGGAGAGGGCCTGGGTACTTATGTGAGGACCACAGGAATTTTACAACATACTGGGGAAGGTGTCATGGTGTGCAGAGCTATCACTGCTGGAGATTCTCATGCATGCATATCTGACTGTATAAATTACAAAATTAGTTTCTTTCTTGATTTTTTTGGTTTTTTTTTTTTTGAGATCATACCTAATTCTACCCTTATATTACTACCTTTCTGTTATCTAGCTGGTAATGCTGTAAGCTGGCTAGAGCAAGGACTTCTGGCCTTTCTTGGCTGGGCTTTCTTCCCTGCTTACCCTCTAATGACACATCTTTTGGCATTCTCCTTCAGAACATCCACAGTGAGAGCTTAAGCTTTGTAGAAGAGAAGAAAAAGAAGAAGAAAGAGGATGAAGCTGCTGCAGTCTCCACAGTAATGGTAAGACTGACTCACTCCATGAGAACCTAGGCAGGATCATACACCTCGAGGTTTGTGGTACCTGGTGGCTTCTTACAGATCACCAGACAATTTGTCATTTTGGCCTTTAAGTAAAAACAAAATTTAATATACTGTAATTTCAGAGAAAAGTCTAAAAAAGCACAACCAAACAAAATACAACCAAAACAAAAACCACAATAAAAAAGCCATCTTCACTAAATGGAGCTTAAAATCCTATCGACATGAAACAAAGGTCAATCTGGATAGTCTGCCTTGTCTGGTATTTTCACCATTTGGGGGTGAGCTATGAAATTAGAGATAATTGGGGTAAGCTATAGGGTAAGCTATGAAATTAGAGATCTGGGCTAATTTCTTGGAACCGATGTTGCATCCTCCTAAAGTGTTTCTTAATTTTATCAGCACATTTAAAGATGAAGGAAGGCGTGGATTCCACTAAAGTAAAGCAGTTGAAAATGACTGGATTATTTGTTTGGGAGCAAGTGAGCAGGCTGGCAGGTTCCTGGTCCTTGATGTCCTTTGTTTGTCCTCCCAGACAGCATTTCCTCCGTCTCGACAGCTGTCCCAGACATTCCTGTGATGTTAAGGGTTTAAAAAAGCCACAAGTATGATCTTCCTAGCATTTCCCTGAGTGTATGGAAATGGGCTGAAATGCTGCATCTGCATGTCCTTCACCACGCTGTCACCATGGGGAACAAACACCAGTGCTGGTGAATAAGCAGGACAACAATGTGGTGAAACGTCAGGATGCTCCTTGTTTGGATGGCTCATGCTTGTGGTGCCTTAGGAAGCTGGAGCAGAGGAGCTGCTGACAGGGATGTCAGGGCTGTGGACTGCAGGCAGAGCACAAAACAATGCACAGGAGAGCCTCACTGCAGAACCATCCTGGGAGTCAATTTAAAGCTAGTGACAAAGCTGGCAAAGCTTGCTGGGTGGAGCAGGACTGGTACAGGGCAAGGCTAATGAAGACTCTTTCTAAACTGGGAATGTTCTGGTCTTCATGTCACACTACAGTGCCATTGTGCCCTTCCAAATCTGACCCATCTCATTCCTCTCACATTTCAGGCCAAGGTTCTTCGGGAGACCAAGCCAATCCCAAACCTGATTTTTGCAATTGAGCAGTATGAGAAGTTCCTTATCCATCTCTCCAAGAAGTCAAAGGTAATGTAAAGCAGAGGGATCTTCTGTCAGCTGAACCTAGTGGAACAGTGGGATCAATGGCATGGTGGAGGGCTGTTGTTAAAGTCTCTATTAATGCTCAGATTAGGAAGGTGTAGGGACCTTTCAGCCCTTGCCCATGCTCCTGGCCCAATACTGCTGAACTGTTGCCACATTGATACCAGCCCATGCCAACATCAGTCCACATCTGTGGTTCCTGGTGGAGTAGAACCTCATGCCAGCTCTCCTCACTCTCCCCCAGTCTGTGTCATGAAATGTACCACAAGGTCCTGCATGAGAGTGAGAGTAGCTGGCAATCACTTGGCTTTTAGGAAAATGTAAAGGGCCCCTGGACTGCACGGGGGCAGGTGCTTTTTCACCCTCTTTGTGCTTCAATCCTGCATTATTACTGCAATAGACTCTGTCCCAGTGCTGTTCAAGGGACTAGGCAGGGTAAGAAACTAAAGAGGCTCACGGCTGAATGTTTCCCCTGCCTGGCTGCCCCTGGGTCGCTGCAGGTGAACCTGATGCAGTACATGAAGCTGAGCACCTCCCGGGATTTCCGCATCAACGCCTCCGTGCTGGACAGCGCCCTGCAGGAGCGGAACTCCGAGGATGCTGAGAACGAGCCACACAACGACCAGGTCAGCATTCATTTAGCTGCTTTTACTGATTGCTTTCCTCCTCTTTAGAAGCCAACTGTATTTGTGAGTTGTGCAGAACAGCTTGTCTTTCCTGGGTTAGCTCTCACTTTAATACTAAGCTGATAGGAAGGAGAGAACAGCTTCTCTCAGAACACCTCCGACACCCCAGCCCTCTGCCTCTAGCAGCCTTTATTTTCATGCACCAGCTCTGTTCCCTGGTCTTGGGGAAGTGAAACTGTTGACTAGGATCAGACCTTTGCAGCACGATGCAAAGTGGTTTTGTATGCAAGTTTTTGTAGATAAAGACCTGTCAGGGCAAATTCTGCAAGGCATCATTCTCCTCAGACCCATCTCTCCTACACAGTGCTGGTGAAGGCAGTGCAACATGCTGGCTAAGAAAAATAAACAGTTTACTCTGCTGATTGTCCAGGTTTTTATTGGTGCTTCTGTCCATATTTTCCTGAGTGTTTCAACAAGCCAAAACCCAGGACAGCATCCCTGTACTGTGCCACTGGTAGCCTGTGGTCTAAGTTCCAGCATGAACTGGGTAGGGGGTGACCCATGGGGAAAGTCTCAGTGGCTGACAGGTATCCCATATTCAGGTCATTTTGTTAGTGAGAAAAAAAGAGCTAAATCCTGATCTGCACAGCTTCTTGCTCTAGGTAACCATTCCTTAGACTGTTCACACAAAAACAATCACACTCTACTGCTGCTCTCTCCCTCCCCTCTCCAGAGCAGCACAGCGGAGCAGACAGATGAGAACCAGGAACCCAAAAAGAAGAGACAGAGAAAAAAATAAACTGGAGTTGCTGCCACTGCCTCCTCTCACAGTGCTCATTCCATGGTGGACTCTCCTTGGTCTCAGAGGCTGCAGATATGGAGATGATGGTTTATTGCTTCTCTTGTCAGATACTTCTGCTTTCTTCCTTTGTGTCCATGGGAGCGACTCTGGCCCCTGTCACAGGTTTCAAAGCTGGCTGCTGCCATCAGAAGTGCCTCTGCTATTTGAATCTTCCCCAGGAATATCCCTTACAGCAAAATGGAAAGGGAGCAGCTGGGATCAGTCAGTCCCTGCCAAAAGATCTGCTTCTGAAAGGACAGGGAGGCTTTGGCACACGGTCTGGACAATTGTCCTGGCCCTCTGCTGTCGTCACTGCTTCTCCAGCGAACCTTTGGTTATTTCAATTATCTGATATATATCCAGTGCTTCCCCTGGAAGACAAGGGGACAGTCAGTTCCCTGCAGTACACTCAGACTGTGCAATGCAAGAGAGTGATGGTTGGGATCTGCTTTAGTTCAGAGCATCAAGCACAGAACACCCTAAATTTATTCAAGCTTGTGTTTTGGGTGGTGAGAATGCAGAAACCAGCACCAGTAGGGAGCTGGGAACATGAGCTGTTGTGCCTTGGAGTTGAAGCTGCTGTGTGCATCTCCTGAGCAGCGAGAGGCCACAGCTTCCTCTGCCCAGGCTGGTTTTGCTGTTATGTTTTTGCTGACCCTGATTGTGATGCACTCGTTTAATTTGCCTGGTTCTTGGTGAAAAGTTCCCATTTTGCCTACAGAGCACAAATCCTGTTTCTGAAAGCACCCTTTGCCTGTAAGAGTCCTAATAAAGGTTATTTAAGGGCAGAGCATCTGATGTGTGCAGTGACTGAAATAACAAATTTGAGGGCAGGTTCTTCTGTGGGGAAGAGCTGCTGCACAGTGAGGAGGAGCTGCTTTCCCAGCCACGAGTTAAATGTTTGCTTGCAGCAATTGGAGGGTTACACTGAGTGCAGACAGGGATGACTTGAGGCCTTGGGACTGCTGAGGAAGCACCCAGCAATGCCAGAACAATGCTTGGCTAAGGGAGAGCAGGGAAGGAGAGAAAGGAATGAAAGATTTTGGGTATGCAGGGCAAAATTGACAAAACAAGGTTGCTGAGGTGCTTCCTTTCAGAGAAGAAGAAATTAAATTTGGTTTGTGTTAAAAGTGCACAGGAGGGCTCCTCCAAGGGGCACAAAGCAAACAAAGTGTGGGAGAACAGAGGCAGGCCTGGCTCATCACTCACAAATATTTGGAAAGCAGCAGCATGAACACTTGAGGACTGAGGAAGGAGGGGCAGCCCTGTAGGTCAGAGGATGTGCCAGGAAGCAAGGGGCTCATGAGGTGCCTCAGGTGAGCAGAGCCCTCAGGGAATGACTACTCAGGCCAAGTGCTCTGCTTAAGCTGGGAAGGCTCATGCAGAGGAGAGGCCAGGGGGCAGCTTGCAGGTGGAGAGGAGATTGCAGGGGACACTGCTCACCTTGAGGGATGCCATACTTCTCCATCCCCATGGGATTTGATGGTGTCACACAGTTCATGGTCACCTCTTTCCTTAAGCACTGGTCAATATCCACTGCACTGAAGAAAGCCACTGACTGTGGCAGGTCCTGGAGGCCCAGTTTGTAGGCAAACATGCACCTGGAGAGCAAGAAAGCAATCAGCCACATTTACCAAACACTGGCCAGCCACCCCTCACAGGGTATTATCACTCAGCAGGTAGGGGACAAGGTGCTTTCTAAGCCCCAGACAGCAGGAGGGCCAAGAATTGCTATAGTGAGCATGGGAGGAACACTCATGGCACCTCCTTGGAAAAAATGGAGCCTCCTCAAGAAAAGGGAAGAATCTAGCCCCTCACTGCTGGCTAATCCTCCCTGGCAGGCAGAGCAGATGCAGGATTTTCCCAGCAGGAAGCCCTGTGCTCGCAGGAGCCAGCACAAAGGCAGGAACGTCAGGGTGCCTGCCCTGCTGTGGCTGCAGAAAGGCTGTTTGTGTCATTCCTGCCTCCACCCAGGAGAAACAGCTCACCTTGGCCAGCTCCTGTGTAACCAAACACCCCACGGTGCTGGGAGGGGGATTTGGCAAAGCTGGCTGGGACAGAGCTGGATCAATGGGAGCCCTTGGAGGTCAGGAGCTTCCTAGGCTGAGCTTAGTTCTGTGTGAGGCAGGGAAGCAGCAGGAACACCCCATGCTGTGGGAGGGGGGACAGCACTGGTGCTCACAGCAGAGATGAGCCATGCCCCTTGCTGTCCCCTGAAGGCAGCAGGGGATGAGGGATGGGACAGTTTCAGGCTCCCAGCTCCTCAACCAAGCCCAAAGGCTGCTGCCATGTGACAGCTGCAGACCCAAAGGGAGCATGAAGTGATGCACTTGCATCCCAGCAGAGCCAGTGACTGGCCCCATCCCTGCAGGGCCAAAAGCTGATGATAAAAAAACCCTTTTGTCAGCACATTATCCCTGGAAATCAAAGCTGAGGTCCATTTATAGCATGAAGGAACTGCAGCCTCCAGTGCTGCTAACTTGCCCTGAGCAGAAGAAAACTACTCTGCACCAGCTTGCTGCAGGCAAAGCCAACCCCAGCCCCTGGGGCTTGCCTGTCCCACTCTGGAGTCACAGCTGCTGCTGCCCAGGAGACAGCAGGGCCATCCCAGCTCACCTTGTGAGGAGGTTGGTGATCTGCAGGGCCAGGGCAGCCCGGTAGCGATCCTGGTGCTGGACCAGGTACCGCACCTCGTCGTGGATGCTGATGCAGAAGCGCCCGTTGATGTCAAACTCCTCAAACAGCCACTTCATGGCAACCAGCATGAGGTGCAGGTAGTCCACAGCTGAGCTCTGCACCACCCAGTTCACCCTGCTGGTCACAAACTGGTGAAAGGAAAGAGATGGACAGTAAGAGAGTACTGCAGTCAAGGGCATGGTATCTGTACATGGGAGAAATCTGTTAAACTCAGGGTGGTTGGGTTTTCTGGGTGGCATGGAGATAAAGGCACAATGGGTTTCCCAAATGGCACAAGAGCCTAGTAGGCCTCCAGGAATCTAAGAGGGGCTGAACATCAGGTTCCCATTTCAGAATATATAAGCAAAGCCAAAATCTCAGCATCCCAGAGCTGCATCCTTACCTCCCCCTTGACCATAGCAGGCTCCAGGGCCCTGCTGATGTGACAGCCCAGCACTGGGGTCTGTGGGGAGGGGGATAAGGCAATGCTTTCCAGCTTGTTGAACATCTCAGACTCAGTGCCTCCAGCCCACACTCTTTGCTCCACCACATTCCACTTCTTCTCCCACCGGGACCTGTGGGGCAGAAGGGAGGTTTGCTGGAAGAGCGGGAGCGGGCTGCAGGTCCCCATTTGAGACCCTCAAACACTCCCTCCTGGTTTGGGGCAGCAGGACGAGACCCTGCTAACTGTTCACTGGGAAAGTGGGTGAGGCTGACGGCCCCCAAATCAAACCTCCTTGGTCCCGGAGGAGCAGGAAGGGCGGACCAGGACTATCCAGCCCCATCTCTCCTCTCTGCCCATCAGGCTGCAGCCCTCTCCCCCTCACATCCCGAAGCCACAGAGCCGTGCAGGGTCAGACCATCTCACCCTTTCATGGCTTCTCTCTGGAGCCGCTGGACATCCTGGGCCGACACCGATCCATCCTCCGCCCTGTCCACAGCCAGCTCCAGCTTCGTCAGCAGCCACTCCCCCTCCTCAGAGAGATGAAACCTGCAGGGGAGAGCGAGTAACGCAGCTCCTCTGGCTGGAACACCGCCCCCAGCCCTGCCCAGGCTGCACCCACCTGCGGATGCCCTTGGTGACGGCGTACATCTGCTGGGCCTTGTCCCGCGCCTGCTGCGGCGTGAGCCGGTGGTTGAACTGCATCAGCAGCCGCTCGGCGAAGGGCTGCCCTGCCCCGTAGATGCGCCCGTAGTTGAAGACCTTGGCGTGCTCCCGGCTGATGCCCACGGTGGCGGCCGTCTTGCTGTGCAGGTCCGTGCCGTTGCTCTTCTTGCCCTGCAGGGTCATCCAGCCGAAGGCCGTGCAGCCTGCGGTAAGGGAGCAGGGGTTGGATGCCCAGCGGGATCGGGATGAGGATCAGGGATCGCCCCCTGCCCGGCAAAGCCCCGGCTCACCGTGCATGCCAGCGAACTGCGCCTCGCCCAGCACCGCCGCGATCCACAGCTCCTGGGAATCCACGTCTGCTCCCACCAGCGAGTAGCCAGGCGGCACCTGCACCATGGCCTTCAGCTCACTGCCCACCCTGTCGGCCTGCAGGACACGATGGCCGGGTCAGCACATCCCTCTCCTGGCACAGGAGCAGCCTTCCCACAGCCACAGCGTGCTGGCACAGCACTCCCTGTGCCCCTGTGTTGTCATCTTACTGCAGGGCTTCCATACTGTTGTCTCCTTATCGCAAAAGTTTCATACTTTCTTGGTGTTTCTCATGGGCAGCTCCTCAGAGCACTGATTCTTTCTTCTTCACAAAGCAGCCAACTGACTCCAGTTCCCCTCCCAACCAGCCAACCCACTCTTTTAGAGCACTCTTCTTCTCATTGGTTACAGCTGTGGCCTGTAAAGTCAGCCCTGTTCCTAATCTTTGATAATTGGCCCAGCTGCAGCTCCTTAGGGGTAAGATTACTTTCTACACTGTCTTTATTTTCTTATATTCTATCCCCCTACACCCCTAAGTTTTGCTCTCAATGTCAAACTGAGTTTAACTCATGTGGACATCACCCATGCTCCAGCAGAGAAGAAAGGGAGCTTGAGAAAAGACAGAAATTGGTATTGGTATATGCTGGTGTTTTCTTCCCCTTTCACCACATCCTGAAGCTCCAGAGCCCCTGCTGACTCCTTCCTTTCTCCCACATGAAAGCACATCAGCAAGAGGACCCCAGCTCTGACCCTGCTACCCCAAATCCCAGCATCCATATCCAACCCCTATTCCAAGCCAAGCACCTCCCATCAGTCCAAAACACAGAGGGAGCCCCCAAACGCCCCTGCAAGGATCCAAGCGTGGCCATACCCGGGCGTTGCTGGCTGTCAGCCAGGTGGGTTCCACGGCCCGGCGGGTGACAGTGCCTGCAGTCACCACCTGCGGCAGGATGGCCCCATAACTCTCCTCCTCGTTGTAGTCAGGATGCCTGGGACAGAGGCAAGGATGAGCATCACCCTGCAAGAGCCCTCCTGGTGCAGGGTAAAGGGAACAGTCTGGGTTTGGGTACTGTACCTGGTCACCACACGAGGCAGCTCCCCCTTCTTCAGCCACACCACCATCTGGGAACTGAGGGGACACGTGGCAGGTGAGATGCTGAGCCCCTGTGCATCCACACAAACACCCCTGCCTCCACCCACAGAGGTGTGACCATGAAAGCAGCTGCTCACCTGATCCTCTTGTGAGCATTCCTCCAGAATGAGATCATTTTGTTAATCTCGAGGGCTCTTGTCCCGTGGGTGCGGCCCACAGCAGCCCGCAGGGTGCCGTCCTCCATCTGGGGCAGGAAATCCTTGGCAAAAGGGCTTCCCACGTTGTTATCGTTCCCATCCTTTAGCAGCAAAAGAGGTGTCAGGGCTTGGCAAGCCTCCACTCCACATCAGCAAAGCTCTGTGCATCCTCCTGTCCCAGCTACAGAGATGGATTTCCCCCACCCAATCCCATGGGATGAGATCATGTGGGTCCCAGCAGCACTGTGGGCATAGGAAGAGCCCCAACTTGCCTTGTGAGGCAGCTTGAAGAACCAGCACCCAGGGATGTTGACATCGTTGTAGGGACCATTGCCATGGTGGAACGAGGGCTTGCTCTTCCTCTCTGTGCACCTCAGCTCTTCCATCTCCTCCTGAGACCAGCAAAGTGAGGCAATGTCAGGAACAGGAGAGGGAAATCAAGGAGAGACCAATCCACCACCCCATTCCACAGGAAATTCCCCTTACCAGCACCAGGCTCTGGTCTGCTTTGTTCATTTTCTCCTCTGGATCCACCTCAATCCGGCTCAGCTCCTCCATCTGTGGGGGAGCCAGATCAAACACCAATCCTCCAGCAACCCTTATTAAAGGGAATTTCTTGCTTGCAGCCCCTGGGGCTGCACAGAGGGCTGGTTACTGCCTGCACACAGGAGGAAGCACAGCCCCACACCTCCCTCCCACCAGGGAACCCTCCATCCCTTCCTTCACCTTCTGCCAGATCGTGCTGCTGTCCATCCCCAGCAGCTCATCCTCCACAGCTGCCTCCAGCCCTGGGGGCTGCTCCTTGCCCTTCTCCAGGCAGTGCTGCCTGTACAGGTTCTCAATCACCCTGGCAGAGGAGAGGGCAGGGCTGATGCACCCACAAAGGCTCTGGGGCAGCACCTGGGCAGAGGGCCAGGGAGCCAGGGAGCTCCCAAATACCCCTTTGGGGCAGCTCCCAGCCCAGCACCCCATCCCATCCCTCTCACCTGTGTGGGCAGGAGGGGCCATCGGTCTCTCCAGGGGCAGCTGGCAAATTGTCCTGCCGTCCTGGCACCAGGTATCCCCAGCCATGCTTCTCTGAGTAGTGCAGGGGGAATCCATCCCAGGCCAGGCGCATCAGCTTTGGGGTCACCCTCATCTGCAGGCTGATGAGGCTGGGCCCAGGCACCCAGCCCTCCTCCTCCAGCCGTGGGCACAGCTTGCGGTACCAGCTGGGCATGGGGAGCAGCAGGGTGGGTCAGAAAGTGCAGGGACAGCCCTGCCAGGGACACACAGGGTGCCCAACTCACCCCGGGTGGCCTGGCAGGTGCTGGAGTCTCTTGGGTTGCAGCGTGACCGTCTCCTTCAGGCGCTCCAGACAGAGCTGGCTCGCAGAGACCTTCAGCTCCTCTTCCTCACTGGGGGGACCAGGGTCTGGTGGGGCAAGGAGAACTGGCTTGCAAAGAGCCCTCTGTGCCACCCTTCTGGGGACAGGGACACCAAACCATGCCCCACCACATGCAGCAGCATGGGACATAGGCCAGCAATGATTCACCCTGCAGCACCAGCAAACCTTGTCCACCCCTGGGAAGGCAGCCCTGGAGCATCCCTCATCCCCAGGGATCCCCTGTGCTCACCCTCCTGCCACTCCTGGGCTGACTCTTTTGCTTCCATTGCTGCTGGGGAAACTGGGCTGCTCCCATCCTGACCTTTCTTCTTCTTCTTCTTCTTCTCTGGATTCTTCTTTTGCTTAAACTCCTGTGTGTCCCACTCGAGATCCCAGAGCCAAGGGTCATCCTTGTACCTGATGACACACCATTGTCACAGCTTTGCTCCTGTCCCTCACAGCCCCCCAAGGACCAGCTGGTGCCTGAGCTCCTTCCTGCAGCCCCAGCCCAGGGTACCTGTGCTCGTGCAGCAGCTGGCAGGCATCATTGGCCAGGTTCATCAGGGACTTCTTCATCTCCTTCTGCAGCTCCTCATAAATACCCTGAGCATCATCCAGGTACCTGTTCCAATTCCCATTGACTGGCAGGTAGGACACTCCCATCTCCAGCATCCCTGCAAACGTGACAGGGTGGGGGCACCTGGACCCCAAAGCAGCAAGGAATTAGAAATCTGCCAGAAGGGACAGGCCCTGGAAGCACCAGGCTACAACAGACATAAATGTGTCTTCATCTAGAGCTTCCCAGCTTCATACAACCCTCGATGCTCTTCCCCTCCCCACTGCCCACCAAGCCCACAGCCCCCTTGGCCACCACCAGCCAGAACCTGGCAGCTCTCACCTCTCCATAAACAGTGGCAGCTGCTCTTGAAACACCTCATGGGTGGCCTGGACATCACGGGCACAGTATGACACCAGGTCCTGGGGAGGGACAGCAGCAGGTGAGAGCAGGCAAAGCAGCCACCCCTGTGCCAGCACAGGGCAAGGCATTGGGGCTGCAGGAGCACAGAGCAGGTCACAGCCCCACGCACACCCAGTGCTGCAAGCGAGGGCAGCAAAATGGAAACTACCCCAGCATGGAAACTACCCCACAAAATGGAAACTACCCCAGCAAAATGGAAACTACGTCAGCAGCCACTACCACCCTGCTCCCCTCTCCAGCTCCTGCTGCCTGTCAGTAGGATGGCCTCCTGCACCTGGAAGTTGCTCCTGATGTCAGCCATGGTGCCCTTGACAAAGAGCTCCCGTGCCTCCTTCTCCAGGGGCTCCCCCCCGACGTAGAGAGCGTGCACGTCCGCCAGGTTGTTGATGCTGCCCACGTGCACCCAGTCCCAGGAGGTGACCTGTGACAATAGGGGGGTCACACACTGTGGGAGGACAACCAGCTGCAGCCAAGATCAGGAGGAGGAAAGGATGCCTCTGCTCCAGCTTCAACCAAGGCCACCTTATCTGAAACGCGCTGGGAGAGCTTCACTCAGTGGAGCTGCTCCACTCTGCCAGAACAGCAGCAAACAGCCCTGGCACAGGAGCCCACTGTCCCCTGCCACCCACAGCACTGCCAGCAGCTCAGCTCCCCTCACTCACCGCCGGCCCCTCGGCCTTGCTGCGTGTTTTCTTCATGTGCTCCTTGACCTGCTGCAGCCCCCTCCTCTTGCCGTGCTTGGCAGCCATCCAGAGGCTGCGCTGGAAGCCCGTCAGCCCCGAGATGGCCATGTGCATGCTCATGGTGTCCAGGAAGCGCATCTTGGAGCCCTGGGATAAACACAGGGGGAGAAAAGAGAGGGCAGGGGATATGCTGGAGGAGCTGCAAGTCCTCTGCTCAAGCTGGTTTTGTTAAGGGAAGCTTTGCCTCCCACACTCCCCTTTTGAGAGCCAAGACCATCCCCAGTGCAGGCTGTCAGCTGCTCAAAGGCTCCTGCCACATCCCCAGCTGGCACCCTGCAGCCTCCAGCAGCCCTAAAGGGTGCAAGAATATCTTCCTCTAAAGAGATCCAGCCTCAAACCTGCTCTGCAGGACAAAGTGAGCACAAACCTGGGGTACCTGTGCAGAACAGCATCTGCCAAAGTAACCCTCAAGAGCCAATGCAAATGATTATCTGGGTAAGAAATTGCAGCTGCCAGAACAAAGCCAACGCTCGCTGGATTACCTGGATAAGATACTGCTCCTTGATGAACGCCCGGTCGAAGGCCACGTTGTGTCCCACCACCACTCTCTCTATCCAGTCCTGTTTGCTGGCACAGCTGGCACCTGCTGGGCTCTCCATGGGAATGAGGTCAGCCAGGGTGAGGTGGCTGGACCAGGAGTAACGCTGCTCCAGCAGCCGCCTGCTGCACCACGAGTACCTGCAGGGGACAGGTGGCACCTGTGACTGTCACAGAGCAGCCACAGTGCCACGGGGCTGACAGGACCCCACCTGTGCCAGGGAGGTGACAACCCCAGGGATTGCTGTTCTAGCTAAGCAGGACACACACCCCACATCCCAGAGCCACTGGGGCTTTGTTGTGTCTTCCCTGCCAGCCAGCATGGACGGCAGGAAGAGGCTCCGCTCAGGACCATCCCCATCTGTCACAGACATCTTTTATGAAAAATCCTTTCCTTAGGATCTTTCCTCCTGAGAAGCTGAGAGGCCTCAGGAACAAAATGTAAACAGTGGTTATCTGTTGCTGTGGAATGCAACAGGTGCATCTGTGACTGGTCTCATGTGGTTGTTTCTAATTAATGGCCAATCACAATCAGCTGGCTCAGACTCGTTGTCCAAGCCACAAACCTTTGTTATTCATTCTTTCTTTTTCTATTCTTAGCTAGCCTTCTGAGGAAATCCTTTCTTGTATTCTTTTAGTATAGTTTTAATATAATATATACCATAAAATAATAAATCAAGCCTTCTGAAACATGGAGTCAGATCCTTGTCTCTTCCCTCATCCTCAGACCGCTGTGAACACGGTCACAAGAGCTGTTCTAGCTAAGCAGGACACACAGCCCACACCCCAGAGCCACTGGGGCTTTGTTGTGCCTTCCCTGCCAGCCAGCATGGACTGCAGGAAGAGGCTCTGCTCAGGACCATCCCCATCCCCTCAACACCGTCCCCCCCAGCCCTGCTGTGACCCCAGCACCGCTCCTGGCCCCGCATCTCACCAGGCGTGCGGGGACACCGCCACGGCCAGCGTGGGGCAGTGCCCCTCGGCCACGCACACCTCCACATCCAGCACCAGCGCCCGCTCCTCGGGGAACTCCACGGGCTCCGCCTGCCCCTGGGGGCCGTAGCGGGTCCAGCCCAGGCGCCAGGCCCAGCGCTCGGGCAGCGGGGGCAGCTGGCAACGCAGCAGCTCCTCGGCCGCCTCCAGGTAGGGTAGGCTCTGTTTCTGCGCCAGCAGGCGAAAGTGCTCGTCGATGTCGCGGCCGTACATGCGGGGCAGGCGCAGCTCCACGTCGGGCAGCGTGGAGGTCTCCTTGTCCCACAGCCCGTGCTGCTGCAGGTGCTGCACGCTGCGCTGCACCTCCTCCGCCGAGTAGCGCACCCGGGCGCCGCGGAAGATCTGCTCGTGGAGGCTCCTGGACAGCATCTGGATGTTGAGGGGGTTCATGCGCCGCTGGCCCGTGGACGGCTCCTGGCCGGGCTCCTCTGGCAGCGGGCGGCTGGCCGAGGAGCTGGACGGGCAGCGCCGGGGCTGGGGGCTGCAGCCCCTCACCGAGCGCATCCAGGACACGCGCCTCATCCTCCCCCTGTGCGCCCCAGCACGGGCAGCTGGAGCTGGGGAAAGGCAAAGGGTGAGCTCAGCACTGATCACTGCCATGCACACACTGTCCTGTACAGTCAAGCACTCCTCTGTACAGCTGTGGTCCCATATAGCCCTGCCCCATACAGCCTTCCCCCATAGAGCTGTGTTCCCATACAGACATTTTCTCTCATTTAGCTGTGTCCCCATAGAGCCATGTCCCCCATATAGCTGTGCCTCCATACAGCCTTACCCCCTATAGCTGTGTCCCTATACAGGTGTTTCCCCCCATCCAGCCGTGCCTCCCTACAGTTGTTTTCCCCATACAGATGTTTTTCTCCATCCAGCCGTGCCTCTATACAAATGTTCGCTCATACCGGTATTTCCCCCCATATAGCTGTTTTCCCCCATATGGCTGTCTCCCCCTCATCCAGCTGTTTCCCCCCATCCAGCTGTTTCCCCCCAAATTCCCCCCTGTTCCCACCTGCTTCCCGCAAGCGCCGCCGGGGCCTGGGTCGGCGGGCAGATCCAAACCGGGGCGCCCGGGGGAGCTTCCGGCCGCCGTGACGTCCCGTCCCGTCCCGCCCCCCGCCCGCGCGTGGTACGGCCCGCCGGGATTCCCTGAGTAAGGCGCGCGGGGAAGCGGGAGTGAGGGTGGCCGCGTGGCCTAATGGATAAGGCGTCTGACTTCGGATCAGAAGATTGCAGGTTCGAGTCCTGCCGCGGTCGCGCTGACAGCACTGTGTTAGTGCTTATTATTTTGCTCCTCCCCTCCGTGCCGGGGCTGTGCGGTCCCGGTACGGGGTTCACCGCACTCCCGGTGCCCCTTTTGCCCGTGAGTTTAACCGGAGAAGGAGGCGGGGCGCGAGAAGCGGCTGAGTGCAAGCAGGCCGCGACGCTCAGAGTGGCGGGGCCAGCGCGCACCGCGCTTGTCACCCTAAAAGCCCCAAACCCCACAGATAGGTTGGGGATGGAGCAGTGGGTGGAGAGCCGCACATGAGCACAGGGTGTGGGATAACGGTCTGTAGGGAGCAGGAAGAGGATGTAGGGTGCAAGGAATAGGATGCGGAGTGCAAGGAATGGGTGTAGGGTGACGGGAATGGGATGTGGGGTGCAAGGAATGGATGTAGGGTGCAGGGAATGGATTGTAGGGTGCAAGGAATGGATGTAGGAGGACGGGAATGGGATGTGGGGTGCAAGGAGGATGGGAATGGGATGTGGGGTGCAAGGAATGGATGTAGGGTGTAGGGAAAAGGCCACAGGTGCAAGGAGTAGGATGTAGGGTGCTGGGAATGTTGTTGGGTCAAAGGAATAGGGGATGCAGGGAGAGAAAAGGCCACAGATGTAGGGATGATAGGCAGGGCATATAGGGCGCAAGGAATGGGTGCAGGACGAAATGTAGGGTGCGAAGAATGGACGGTGGGGTGCAGAATATGATGTGGGGTGCAGGGAAGGACATGTAGGGTGCAGGGGAAAGGCCACAGCTGCAGGAATGAGATGTAGAGCACACGGCAGGGGATGCAGTGTGCTGGGAATTAGGGTGCTAGGAAGTAAAATTGCAAGGTATGGATGTGGGGTGCTAGGAATGGGATGCAGGGTGCAGGGAAAGGTCACACGTGCAGGGTGCGGGGGATTCAGGGTGCCAGGGATGGGATGGAAGGGATGGGATGTGGGTTCACAAGGAAGGGAAACAGGAGGTCCAAGGTGCGGACAGGTGTGTGCAGGCTGCGTGGACGCCGCAGGAGCTGTTGTGGCCGGACAGTGGCTCTCGGCACAGCCCAAAGAGCGCTCACATTGCCGTGCCGAGCCGAGCCGAGCCGAGGCGAGCCGGGCCGGGCCGTGCCGAGCCGCCAGGTGGCGCTGCGGCCCCGCCGCTGCGGGCCGGGCCGGGCCGGGCCGGGCCGGGCCCCCCGGGGCCGTCGGGGCGCGGACACCGCTCGGGTCCCGTCCCGCTCCCCGCTCCCCGTGTGGCACCGGGCAGGGCCAGCGGGCACCGGGACTCCCCTTCGGCCCTCCCGGCCCCTGCGGAACTCCACGGCCCGGGTGCGCCTCACCACCCACTCCAGCTCCTCATCACCCTCCCACGGGGGTGCGGGCTCGGGGGGATGCAGGTGAGGGGCCGCTGCTGCCCTCCGCTCTCCGAGGAGGCAGAGCCAGCGTGGAGCGGTGCGGGATGTGAGGAACACGCACACAGGGCGCCGTGCAGGGCTCTGCGGCTTGGAACGCATTCCACAGCCCCTCGGTGCCCCGCAAAGTCCCTGCCGCCCCCCAGCTTGAGGCTGGATGTGGGGTCGTGCTTCAGCCAGTTTCACCCAGCAGCGGGAGGCACCCGCTCTGCCTGAGCCTGCCGGGAGCCGCAGGGGCTGCCTGTCCTCGGCCACCTCCACACCGGCGACTCCGGGTTCCCGGCTCCTTCTGCGGGAGCTCGGCGGGGCGCGGGGTGCGGAGCCGGCGGGGAGAGATGCTCCAAGACTGCGGGTGCTCTGGCCGGGGTGGAGGAGCCATGAGCTGCCCTGGAGTAAAGGGAAGAACGGTTTAGGGACCCCCGGCTCCCGGGTGGCTTTAGGAAAGGACCTGGATGCACTTGTTCTCCCCTCCGATGCATTGTGTTAACGCCGATTTCTCTTATTTGGCGTCTTTTATTTCCTTATTTTCATCGTGTTCGCAAAAAATTAAATTCTAAAAATTCCAAACCCTCCCCATCAAAAAAAAAAAAAAAAAAAAAAAAAAAAAATTATCCTCTCTCCAAAGCGTAAACAGCAAAAATAAATTCTCTAAGTGTTTCTCGCGGCAGCGCTCTGGGGAGGGTTGATGACAACGAGCTCCACTGCCTTGTCTGCAGGCAGGACCGGGCCGGGGCTGCCTGTGCCTCACCTGAGTGTGGGCACGAAGGTTCGGCAAGGCACGGCACCACTTAAAAAAAAAAAAAAAATCACCACTGTGAACAACCCGAAATAACCTCAAAAATCCGCCGTTTCAGCAGAGCTGGCTGCAATGCATAAGTCGGAATGGGGTGTGTATCGTCTTTTTTTTTTTTTTTTAATTTTTTTTTTTCATTCCCTAGGTTTTTTGTTTTTATGTCTGTCTGTCATGCAGAGAAGCATCCCCATCCCAGGTGCGCCCCGTCGGGGTCCGGTACCGGCGGTGGGAGCTGCGACTTCTCGCCAGCTTCTTGGAGACCCCGCTCCCCGCCGGGAGCTCAAAGCTGTCTGTCGGATAATGGGGCGGTGGGACTTTGTTTAACCCCGTTGCCCCTGGGGCCAAGGGTCAAGGGCTTCCTCTTCCCCCGGGACACGGCGGAGACGCCGTTGGTCACAAGAGGAGGACGGCGGCGAGGAGGGGAAGCGATGGCCGCAGTGCACCCCTGTCCCCGCCGCGGCCCTCCCGTGCCATCGCCCTGGGATCCCGTGAACCTCCTTCTCTCCCCGGCATCGAGAGGCTGAGACGGGCTCCAGATGGGTGTGTTGGGGGAGCAGGGGGAGGCCAAACATCACCACGGGGCAGCGGGTGATGATGCAGAGAGGCAGCCCCTGCTTTCCAGCATCCCGCGGTTCTGCTTTCCCCTCCCAGCTGGAGCAGGACGTTTTTAACAGGGTGCCGGTTTAAACGGTGTTTCACCCCCTCCCTCCACAGGTAGAGATGTCTCAGCTGCCCCCCCGGAGCCAAGAAACGGGAGAAACGGGCAATTTTTATAGGTGACGTACGGGCTTACGTGGGAATCCGTGCCCAGCACTGCTCTTTCAGCTTCTTTTTCTCCTGAAATAACCCTTCCGTGAAGCTCGTACCCCCCTATTCCAGCTCGCAACCCCTTTTTCAGGCTGGGGAGGAGTCGGGAGAGAGGGAAGGAAAAGAGAAAAGCAAAGCACCCCAACATCCCGCTCTTTCCCTGCTCGGGAAGCGAGCCCCGGAGCTCCCAAAGTGAGCGCTGAAGAGGGCGACAGGAGACAGGCGGGAGCCGGCTCCGAGCTGGAGGGGTCGGGGGTGGGATGACAGCAGAGGAGGACCCTCCTTTTCGGGATTAAGGGAGAACCAGCGGAGGAGGGAAGCTGGCGGCACCGCGGGCACCCGAGGTAAGTCCCTCTCGTGCCCGCAGCGGTGGTACCTGAGCCAGGGCGCTGCTGCGGGGGACGCTTTGAGGGTTCAAAGGAGCCCGATCCCGGGGGGAGCCCCTTCCCGGGGCTGCCCCATCACAAGCACCGGGCTCTGCGGGGCCGGGGCTGCTTTGGAGGCTGCGGCTCCTGGGGAATCGGTGCCGGTGATCCCGGCCCGGGGCTGCCGGCAGCGCCTGCCCCGCTCCGTGCCCGCTCCCTCGGGGCTGGGCCGGGGTCCCCCCGGGCCGAGCAGCCCCACGGATCCCGCTCCCAGCCCCCGGGGCTCCTCCCGTGCGTGTCTCAATTCGCTCAGGCTTGACTTGGCAATAAGCTCTCTCAATAGGGTGACAATAGAGCCCCGGTGGGACCCGAACAAAGAATTTGAAAGTAGTTAAATTGCAGGACACGTCCATCGCCTGGGTGCTTGAATTAAAAAAAAAAAAAAAAAAGAAGAAGAAGAAAAAAAAAAAAGAAAGAAAAAAAAAAAAGAAAGAAAAAAATCAGAGAAAAGAAAAAGGAGAGGGACTTTTCTTTGGGCTGGTGAGAAAATGCTCAGGGTAAAAGTTGGTTTGGCGTCTTCATTTCAGCGACAATGGAGCAGAGCTAATTCAATAGGAAACGCGGGGATTTTTTAATGAAAAGACCGCCGGGGTTACACCGAAGTTAAGCTCTTGTGAATTAATTATTAGGGCAAATAAACTGGGAGGGGGGGAGCGCTCGGGAGGGAGTGTTGCAATTTCTTAATATTCTCCTTTTCGTGTTTAACGACAATGCCATTAGGTTTTCGACTCTGGGTGAGCAAAAGGATTTCTTACACTCCCCGGGAAGAGGAGAAGACGCGCTTTCTTTCTTTTTTTTTTTTTTTTTAATGGTGTTAATTGCTTTTAAAATAAAATACTACGGAATTTG